ACTAAATATCTATCTTGACAGAAAATGGTGTTGCCGACCCCCCAGGACCGCGGTCTGTATGGCACCTTCGACCTCCTTTGAGTGTTTTTCTCGGGAGTCTTCGCTTGTTTAGCACGTGTTTTGGACCCACAAACCAACAGCTCCCGCGCACATTACGGTCACAGCTTTTCGAACACTCGCGTCATACGAGGCCGCAGGGGCCTCCGTAATTTGTGGCTATGCAGCACTTGGCATGACCCTGTGATTGAGAAGTGGAATTGAAGGAGATGTTGGCGCAAGACAGACCACATTCGTGGGAGCAAAAATTGAGATTAGAAACGACCTGCAAAATGAGAGATGAGAGATTGATCTCCAAACAACATCCTTTCTTTTCGACATGTTAAGTTCGTTTTGATCGAGCCGAGTGACGGTACCGGTAACTGTGGAGCTCGCAGCTAGCCCATTGTGGGACGCTGTGACGCTGCGCGGATGGTCCAAGGTGGTGACACAGGCGCCATGATGGTCTTTCAACACGTGGCGCGCAAGAAGACCAAACTGCCAGTGACTGAGAAGAAGATTTCGATGGCCTCCACCCTACTAGCGATGGCCTCCTACTAGCGTTGCTAGGGGGACTTTGTGGGGAGCTGCGTGAAGCTCGAGTGGAAGCTCGGCTGCGCTTCGTTCACACAGGTTGACGCTCATCGTGGACTCGCCCATAGTCGGAGAATACATGCAGCTCAAGCATCTCAAACTGTTATGTAGTTGTTTTCCTAGTAGCTTCTTGCTCCTAGTAGTAAGAATGCTACTAGTAGCGATGCCAGGAGCCCTAGTAGCGTCGTTGTTCCTACTTAAAGTTAAGTTTCCCTAAAAGTCCAATGTGCTTAGTGCGAGCGATTCTTCAAGGACTCTCCCCTCCCGCTACTAGTAGCGAGCTTCCTTGAAGAAGTGTGCGCCGTTCTGCGTCCTAGCTAGTAGCGTCCTACTTAGTAGCTACTAACTAGTTTACACTACTTCTAGCAGATTCCCCCCCAGGCTCAAAAAATTTGGAATTATAAATCGGTCTTAATAGCTACTAACAAGGTGCATCGCTACTAGTAACAAGAAGCTACTAGTAGCATCTAGTTGCTATTTGCTACTGTAATGGCCTGAAACCTCGAAGCGATGGCCTCCCCCTAATAGCGATGGCCTCGAGTAGCTTCTTGGCAGCGGTTGCAAAACCTGGAGTTTCGATTGCGGAAGAGCCAAGGTGATCCTGAGCGCCTTGCATCTCCTACCCACTGTGACGGGCTCCCACAGCAGCTTGGAAACCACTTGGTTGCTGAAAGGAGGACTCAAACAGAATGGAAGGAAAATAGAAACCAAAGGACAAAGAAAGGGATACCTTTTGAAGAACCTGCCAAGCCTGGTATCAACGAACACCCCTTGGAATGTGGACCATTGTGTTGGTCTTGTCGACAAAGTAGGCCACGTCGACGTCTTGTATGCATGTTTTTCTCAAGGATTTTTGGGGAGGCTGGCTACAGGAACTGCATGCCAGGTTGATTCTCCCAAGCACTTTCTCATGAATGTGAGGTGCAAAAAGCCTTAGCCTTTCACATCCTTCTGGTTCTCCACCACACAGGAGGGCTCTTGGGACCCCGTCTTTTCCCCGTGTGACCTCGGTGGTGGAGCGATGCGAGGCCATGATGCGCAGGTCGCGGTCTTCACCGAACATCGCCGCTGAACTTCACCGATGGAAAGAGGGGATGGATGCTGTGCGGAGGGGGATCGGGAGGGGAAGATCAGGTGCTCCGGCAGTTTTTTTCTGGGTCAGAGCTGCAGGTATGGAATTTGGGGGGCGTGGCGGCGTGGCGCTTCTCAGAAATGGCATCCAGCTGAGGGGGTGCGTTGGAGGTGATGAAGAAGCTCGTTCATGAGGAGCCCAGAGCTGACGGCTCGGGATCTGCAAAATAGCAATGGCCTCCAACATACTAGCAAGCTATATTAGACCTTCCTTCTTTGTTTCTACTAGCGATGGCCTCCGTAAGGGAATGTTTGGGATGCAGTATCCATGCTGGAAATCAGCTGATGATAAGAAGGTAACAGTTTGACTGGAGAGTTCTTGTTACTAGTAGAAACGAGTAGAAATGCCAGGAGCTACTAGTAGCGTCCTTGCTGGTTTGTTTTGGAGGAAGAGAGAACACTTTTGAGCTGGAACATGCTAGAATCTTACCTTCCTTGGAGCATGTTGGAGAACAGAGATATGCAAAGGTTCAAGTTGGGTTTCAGTATTGACCGCTGATGATGTTTGTGCTGCTTCGTAGCCAAAGTGGTTTCCCTGCACCTACAAGCCTACAGTGCTCAATTCCCCACCTCCCAACGAGTGACCTAACGCCAGAACGCCAGAACGACCGAGGTTTCAGCGGACACCGACCGCTCGTTCCACCACGTTCGTTCGTTCGGTCGGTCGACAGGAGTATGGCATCGATCTGGAGGATAGTCGCTATATCATCGCGCCTTGGAGTGATGGACCGAGGGCCCACCACGGCGGGCGGGACGCAGCACGCGGTTGGTTTGTTCTCTGTGTTTTTTTTGCTCAGGGAGGAAGAAGTGACATAGACTAAAATCCAGCAAAAAAGGGGGGTCTCCCTATCAAGTCGTGAAAGCATCAGCTCAAATCTGTATGATGGATATGGTGGATATGAGGGGAGTTGCGAACCCAAAGGCGACAATGTGCTCGTGACTGCTCGCGGTGGTTCTTTGGGGGTTGAGATGCAGAAATGGCGTTGAAGACAGCCAAGTGGCATAAATGGCGTTGCACGGCAGGTTGAGAAAAGGAGGTCTATAGCTTCATGTGTTACTAACCCCAAATCCCAGCACAGAAACCAGTGAAGCATGATCGATCCGTTCCAGTGGCGGACTTGCAAAATACCATTCTCAGACCGAAGAAACTCAATCTTGGGTTGGAGGCCATCGCTATTAGGAGGCCACCGCTTCTAGGTTGGAGGCCATCGCTATTAGTAGCGTCCTTGCTCCTAGTAGCGATGCCAGGCGCCCCTAGTAGCGTCCTTGTTCCTAGTAGCGATGCCAGGAGCCCCTAGTAGCGTCCTTGTTCCTAGTAGCGATGCCAGGAGCCCCTAGTAGCGTCCTTGTTCCTAGTAGCGATGCCAGGAGCCCCTAGTAGCGACCTTGTTCCTAGTAGCTTCTAAGTTGGAGCTCTACTTGTCGTTGTGTTTTTTTTCCGACGGACCCAGGTGGACTGCACGGAGATTCCGGGCTTTGCGACACACGACGATGCTGAGAGCCTCCGGCTGGCAGTGGGGTTTTAGTTCTCGTAGACCGGATATCTCACAGATAGCTCCGGCACCCAAAACTGGTGACCAAAGGTGCAAGACCATTCGAGCCATATTTACTGGAGCTGCAACCTACTAGACATGTTCTCCACCCTACCCGCAATGACCATACGAGATATCAAGTACTTTGGGGACGCTTCGGTCAACCCTAGCTTGCGGATCTTCACTTCTGGGCAGCGGGTGAAAGCCGTGCGGGAGAGCTGTGCGATGGCTCACTGATGAATCACTTAGTTTCAAGACTTCAGCCGAAGCCTGTCAAACTTCCCTTACCTTCTGGATAGCTCATGTGTGGACTGAATCATTCAGTCACAAACTCAATCAGGTTCAGCTTTCACTCGGCAAGTGGGCTGATAGTCAAAAAAGCCTGCGGTTCTAAAGGTGGGTTGAGGTCGGAAGACAGACGAGGAGCGTCGTAGAGTCTTTGTTCGTCTCTAATCCTTTCGCAAGAACTGGATCAATTGATCATGCACATCCATGTTCGAAACCTAAGAGCCTGCAACTCCAACCCACCCAATCCCTGATTGGGATGCCAATGATGTAGATCTACAAATCTGTAGGTTGCTGGAAGGCCTGTCGGTTACTCGGCCGTCGATTGAGCTTTGGCGTTGCGTTTGAATACCCCTGGACTTTTTTTCTCCCTCTAACCTGACCTCTTAGGTGTTCATATGTAGGTTGCGGTGCAACTCCAACCCCCCAATCCTGATTGGGATGCTAGTGATGTAGATCTACAAATCTGTAGGTTGCCAACCTACAGGTGACCTGGAGCTTTACCAACATGGAAGGCCTGCAACTCCAACCCACGCCAATCTTTGATTAGTGATGCAAGTGATGTAGATCTACAAA